GATCAACAATGATATGATCCACTTCATATCATCACATGATCATATTGGTTCATCGATCTTGACTCTACTTGCTCTTCACCGTTGCTATCGTCCATCGGCGCCAAGTCTTGCTCAAGCTTCACCGCCACGCGGTCCATCACTCCAAAGCCTTTGACTTGCCCTTCACGCTTGCAACCGGTCCATCAAGCCAAGTCTTGTCTTGATCTTCTCCACCTTGATCACATGACTCAATGTCATGTCTCATGTGCAATAAGCTCCTTCATCATCACATGTGTGAGCTTTGCAACATCTCCAAGCCATTTTCACCTCCATGGCATATGTTGCTCATACACATATACCTATGGACTAATCACCTGTGTATCTCACATAAACACAATTAGTCCACCTAGGTTGTCACTCAATTACCAAAACCAACAAGGACCTTTCATAGGGTTGGCGATGAAGGCATTTCGCAAGACGGTAGGGCCAGACCGCAGGTCCAAAAGAGAGGCGAGTATCGGTCTCGCATTGTGCGGCGTAAAACGGGTAGACAAGGACATGTCCATGGCGTAGAGCTTGATTTTAGAAAAATGTGGGAACTGATTTCATATTTTTCTGAGGTCGAATGAATTTTCTATGAATTTTCGAAGTTAAATCCATTTTCTAAAAAAGAAAAAGGAAGGGGTGAACCAAGGCTTGACATGTGGCAGCGCAGGATTGGTCCAGCGGTAACAGTGGCTGACAGGTGGGCCCTCGACACTGGTCACTGACAGGTGGGCCCAGTCAATGGGTTAGGCCCAGAATGGGCTTGGATGGGCTGGATCAGGGCCGGGTTGGGCCGGCCCAGGCCTGGACACGTGTCGAGCAGGCAGGCCACCCACGTGGCATGTTGGGCTCATACCGGGCTTGGGTGCACCGGGGGCTGGTCCATGGTGGACTTGGCCATGCGGGTCCATGGACCGCAGGGACGGTCTGCGGTGGACTATGTCCACGGGCGCAGGCACGTGTAGTGCACCGTGCACCCAGTGTACGTGGAGACGGGAAGAGGGATTTTGGCTCCCCTGTTTCTACTCCGGTGCCTCGCGGGCGGCGGGGCGAGCGGGGCTAGCTCCGGTGGTGTCTTGTGGCTGGGTGGTACGTAGTCCCGAGGTCTCCACGTGCGCCGCGGTGGCTCAGGGTGGAAGCTTGGGGCTTTGCGTGGTCGGCGCACAACACAGCGGCTCGGCGACTACGGCATGTGGTGGCGGGACGGTTGCGAGGCAGCGCTGCCGCAAATCAGAGCCAGAGTGGCTCCTGCGGTCCAATTGGGGGTGAAGGCAGGGCCCTCGGTGGCGGCGCCAACGACCATACTCCGCGGCGGAGTCCGCTCGGTGCCCCAACGCATGGTGGAGCTCCGGCGAGATCCCGGCAATGGCGGTTCCGGGGTTCGGGTATGTCATTAGCTTCATCGTCTACACGGCTAGGTGCGCGAGGTCGAGGCGAAACTCTGCGGCCAGATCCCATATCACAAGGTGGCGGAGACGGTGAGAAGGTCCACGGCACGGTGGCGCTCTGGAGCGCATCCGCGTCGGTGAGGTGGAGGGTAGTCGGGGTACTTGGGCTCTTCTTCGGCCAGGGGCTAGAGTAGGGTGTGTCCCACATTAGGGCGAGGACGAAGAGGCCATTCCTAACGCCTAGGTCTTCATGGTAGGGCCGGAACGGAGCAGCGCCATGGCGGGGTTTGGCCATGGCGGGCACAGGGCGGTGGCACCGGTGTTCCCGACCATCCAAGGCTCGGTAGGACGACATCTTGGCTCGTGGAGGCGTTTGTGAGCACGCCATGCTCGATGGTGCACAACAGCGTGACCCTTGGGCCTCCCAAGTGGGGAGACCACGACGGCGCTCATGGCGAAAGTACGATGGCGAGCACAAGGGCGGCGTGGGGGCTTATCGTGGGGCTTAGGGCAGCAGGGAAGAGGTGCGGTGGTGCATTGGGGCCGTGGCGGGTTGGTGCGGTGCCGTGCAGGCTACGACAGGGAAGAAGACGATCACGGCGTCGTCCCCGGCTCCGGCTACCACAAACGCTCCGATGCTCCTTCCTCTTTCTTTCCTCTTCTACTTCCTTGCGGTCTGGGCAGGCGGGGGTGTAGACTCAAGGCTATGGCGTGTAGTCATGGGCGATCAGTGTTGGTGCTCCATACAGCCCGCGATGGTGTAGTAGTACGTGGCGCCGACTCCACTTCGGCGAGCTTCGAGCGGCGCTCCGGCGGCGGTGCTCCACTGCGCTTCGCCTAGTTCCTCCTCCTTCCTCCTTTCCTTCTCCCTTCTCCTCTTCTCTCGGCTTGTTGTGGCAAGGCATGGTTCGGGCGAGGCCATCGAGCGGCGGCGATGGGGCATGGGAGAGCTAGGGCTCCGGCTCGGGGGTTTTATACCCGAGTTCGGCTATGGCGGGTCCACGAACGGTGGATGGAACAAGGGGAATCGATCAGAGGGCGATCGAGGCTCCAAGCTAGGGTTCTGGGTACAGCGCGGGGCTCCGGGTGCCTTGGCGACTCCAATTTGGAGCGGCGGCCGGTAAAAAGTGGAGGCGGGTGGCGTCAGCGGGAATGGGCCATGGCGACGACGTCACACGCGGCGCGGCGCGACCTGGGGCAGGGCGTGGTGCCATGGATCGCTTGCGTGGCCGCATCCAGGCGCGCGCGGGGGTTGGTGGTCAGGTCCGGACGGCTCGGATGCGGGGCGTGGCCTTGGGTGCTCCTTGCCCGATGCGCGCCGATGCTCTGCTATATGCCAGAACAGAGGAGGCGAGGGGGACCAGGGGAAAGGGATGACAGGTGGGGGCCGGCTAGCCCACCTGCCAGCGACGTCGTGAGGGGGGGGAGAGGGGCGGTCTCAAGGGGCAATGGGTGGGCGATCTTGTTGGGCCGCTTAGCGTCTTGTGGCGCCATGCAGCGGCCAAGGGGAGGAGCTGGGCCACACTGGTCTGTTCTTCTGCTTGCTGCCAGGGCAGAGAAGAGGATGGGGTGAAGGGTTGGGCCACCAGCTCAAGTGGGAGAGGCCGGCTGGGAAGTGAGGTGGTCACGGGCCGAGGAGGCGAGCTGGGCCGACTCTGTTGCTTGGGCTGGTTTGGCCATTTCCTTTTTCTCCTCCCTTTTCTATTCCTGTCAATTTCTATTTTCTACGTTCTAAATAAACCAAGGGCTTCTATGTGGGGTCCAGTAAGGGTCAGCTAGGGTGGTGGGGATCCATACCAAGGGTCGGCAATATGCAAGCATCAAGTCATAGTAATTGATCATAGGAATTTGAGAGAGGTAGATTTGTGAAGAATAAAAGGGAGTTGAGGGGAGAAGGAAAAAGGGGATCTTTTTCCTTTACATGTTTATATGGATATGGAGTTTAGGGAGGATGTGGAAAGGCATGAGATGACTCCAAAAATTATTAGGAGAATTTTTGGAGAGACTCAAATGGAATGGAGAGGGTCTATGAGAATAAGAGAGAATCTGGTACAGATTGTGCACTCCGACACAAAACTCTAACTCATCTAAAGAACTCCGGCACACTCCTACAAACAATATTATATGTATGCAACAATTTATTTATAAATTGTCTTTAGTTTGACCTAACAACTACATGCTTCACACGTTGTAGAATTTTTTTTTAAAAGTTCGTATTTTTTGGCTTCATCAAAAACCAAGTCTATTACGGCGAGCTATGCTCGCAAGGCAATCCACGCCTCAGGCTGGACGCCAGTCCCCGAGCTCTGCTCGTGGGCACCGCTCGACGTCTTTGATGGAGCGGTTGAGAAATAAAATGCACTGCTGTTTACACAAAGGCCGGTCAACCGTTGTTGGGCCGAAAGAAAGCCCATTCTTTGTAAGGCAAAGTCTATGTGTACGCGCGCGCTCCCAAAAACCCTGGAAGGCCAAGGGTTGCGCCGCGCAATATAAAAGCGCCACCTATTCATTCAGTAGCTACTTCTCCAAAATTGCCGGCTTTTTTCTCGCGTTCGTCGCTTCACCTTTCCAACTGTAGCAACCGCAGCCGTGCCCGCAAAATCGAGCGACCGCCGCCGCGATTCACGGGCAGAAAACCTAAATCTGCTCAGCGCCTTGGCCCTGCCGCAAGCCACCAAAACACATTCCGCCGCCGCCAACTCAATCGCCCTCCGCCTCGCTTGCAATCGCTGGAGAGAGGAGAGAGGAATGGCGCCGCGTAGAGCCGATCCGTTGAAGGAGCTGATGAAGAAGGAGTGGACCAAGGCAAAGTGCACAGCCGCATCCATGTACCGGCTGGTGCAAATGGGGCTTCTGCCGGAGCAGAACATCGGCGGATGGCGGATTACGATGGAGAGCTACCCGAAGCCAGACGCGGGCGAGCTCGTAGTCTTCGAAGACTACTACCTTCGCGGATTCGGCACCCCAGTACATCCCTTCCTCCGCAGACTCCTCAAGTTCTACAAATTGTCCCTATGTCATCTTCATCCCAACTCAATCCTTGCTGTGTCAATCTTTATCAACTTCTGTGAGTGCTTTCTGGGAATTTATCCCCATTTCAATCTATGGCGGTACTTTTATTGTGTCAAGAAGAAAGGAGTGGCCGGCAGATCTCAGATCGCCCGTGGGGTGTATTTTGTTCTCCGGGAGGACAAAAAATCAGAATATTTGAATATCCGGGCCAACAATTCCATTAGAGATTGGTTCAAGAAATGGTTCTACGTTGGCACTGCAGAAACTGACGAAGTGGTGATGTGCGACGTGACCAAGATCCCGGAGCAACATGAGAAGTGGACCTCCCTGCCAAGAAACTTGGATCAGGTGCAGGAGCTGCTCAAGATGTATGATCGCTGCATTGACGGCATATATGTGGCCGGCGTATGGATGAGCCGGAGGGTGCAGCCCTGTAAGGAAAGGGTGCATCCCATGTTTGAGTATACTGGCAGCCAGGACCCGACCAGAGAGGCAGATGGCGATCTGTCCAATGCCGACCTCAACGAGCGCCTGGGCCAGGTGTTCAACATAACAGGGTACACCGTGCCTGATGGGATGCCTCGGGCATTCCACTTGGGTGATCCGCCGCCGCAGGTGAGATCTGTTTGTCATCAGTCTTTTATCTGCGTCTGATTTTCTGCTTGACATATTCATCTCACATATGAAGGTTCGTGGTCAGCTACGAGCGGCGGTGTATGTATCCAAACTGCCAGACGAAGACTGGCCGCAAGGGGTGGACCGCCATGACGGGGTCTAGTTCGAGAACATCGCAGAGCGTTTCACCGACAAGGCTGCCGAGAAGCGTCCTGTGGTGGAGGGTGCAGACCAGCCCAGAAAGACGGGTAGCCGCCTGCGCACTGGCGGTGCCCTGAACATTGGTGGAGACAGCGGCCGTAAGAGGTCGCGGCCGTCGGGAGCTGGCGAAGAAGATGACGACGACACCATTCCACTGTCTCAGCAGTTTTGCATGAACCTGCCGGGGCAGGAGGAAACGACATCGGTGTCGCCGACCAGGTCGAGACCGCAGGAAGCGGCAAGGCCCCAGCAAACTGGCCAGCAGCCCCCGACCCAGAGAAGCCAGCAGGGACCTCCGCCTGCAGCTAGACAAGAGAGGACAACAACGGGAGCCACGCCGACCTCAGCTGGAACGGCAGCAAGACCACGATCATCGAGTGTGGCGCCGGGGAGAGAGCCGCCACGAACCACGGAGGCCGTTAGCACACCGACGGTCCAAGGTGTGCCACCACCACAGCGACACGAGCCAACTCCTCCTGTTCTCAGACTCAGGGACAGGGGAGCTCTGGTGGTGGTAGCAAGACAGGTCGGCGCTTCGGCGTCAGGTTCACACAATCTTCGGTGTAAGTCTTCTTATCAAATGCTTCATCTGTTCGCAGTTGTAACTTGATATCGAGTACTGAATGATTTGCGCATCATCCTTAAATCTGCAGACCAGCGTCCACCGAGGTCCCCATCTCCTTTAGACCTGCACCGAGCTCGGTTGCTGGCACCGCAGAACAGCAGCGCGAGACTGCCGCAGAACAGCCGCGGCCCATCGTCGAGGAGGCAAGGAGGAGTCCGCCCAGGGCCCTGACGCCGCCTAGACAGGAGGAAGCCGCAGCGGTAGCAGATGGTGATCATGCACCACAATCTTCCATACCTAAGGTGATAGACATCTTGATTGAAAAAGTGAAAACTTGTTGTCTTGGCAGAAAATCCTTGAATTGTTGTATGTTGTAACAGGCAGCCGTAGAACGAACAGTTAACGCGGAGGAATAGGTCAGGGAGAACGCCAGACGCCCAGAGGCAAGAGGGGCACAGACTAGCTCAGCTAGCGTGCCAGCTGCTGACCTCTGGGGCGGAGCCGACCTGTTTCCTCGAGCAACCGCTGCCAGAGCCACCGCTGCTGCCAGGGTTGAACCACCCCAAGAGGGGGCGGACGTCGAGGAGGTGGAGCCACCAGAGCATGCCGAAGATGACTGACCTCACCGTGTGTTCGTGGCACGGAGAGAAACTGCTGACGAGTGGGTGTGCCATGAGGCAGGCACAGAAGGGTCGGTGTCTCGTGCTATTCGCCGGACAATGCAAAGACTGTACACTCAAGTGCAGGTAAGGCGTTGAGAACTCAAAATGGTACAGTTCTTGCTTGATCTTGTCACCACGATAAGTAGCGCCGAGCTATTTCGCAGGACCTGGAGAAGAACAGTGAATACACCAGACATTGCTACAACTCCATAGAGCCGACCCTCAAGGAGAACGAGGCACTGAAAGCCGAAGTGGCTAAGCTGAAAAGCCAAGTATCAGAGCTGAAGGAACAACTCCTTGAGGTGGCAACTAAGGAGTCGGCACTGTCTTCGGAGAGGCCTGTAATGGAGGAAACTTGTGCTCGCTTGGAGAAGGAAAAAATAGGTTTGCAATAGTAGTCTTCCGATTTCACGCTTGTCTGGATGAATGTGCGGCTCAAATGGTATTGCAGACCTCGCCGTGGAAACCACCGTCCTCAAGCTGGAGCTGGAATGCCTTCGAGGCAAAAAGGAGGGAGCCGAAGCAGCCGCGGAGAGGCTTGCCGCCGAATTGGAAGGTACGTCATGGCCAACTCAGTTGTGCCATATTAGTCCTGTTTTTCCATACTCAGCATGGTCTTCATGCTTGCAGCCGTTCGCGCAGGCAACAAGAGGCAATTCGACGAATTCGCGCGGCAAGTACAGTGGTATCAAGATAAGGCCCAGCAAATGGAGGAGGGAGTGACGCCTCTCCTCAATATCATTGAGATGGACAACACCTCCTCAGCTAGTAACAGAGGGCTGCCGAATCCAATGGTTATTGTCGAACGATGTCGGAACTCGCTGGGAAACTTTAAGGGCTTTGTGGAGGAAGCGCGCCACTATGTGGCCTCCCACGTCCTCGGGGTGGTGCGGTCGCACTACCCTACGGTTGACCTGAACAGGTTTGCCGCAGGGGTGGCTGCTGGCACCAGCGAAGAAAGAGCTGGCGAGCTGCGCGACGAATCCAGGGAGGTCGCCGAGGCCATCGTTGGAGATATACACCTGTATTAGGGCCTTGGGCCACATGAGAAACATTAGTGCTGACATGTCGATATTATGTAAAATATGATTGTAAGCATTGTTTATATATTTGGCGAAGCACTCAGTGCTTGTAAATTGACTGTAAATGAGTTAAGAGCACTCTGTGTCTCAACAACTTAGTCGTAGCGCAGTCGAGCACTCAGTGTCGACACGGACATCGTAGCGTACTCAGTATGGCTAGGACGGCGCATGGACGACGTAAGTATATGTCGAAGCGTAGAATGTATTAGCGAAAAAACTTAGTTTATTGCTGATTTTAACGTTGAAGAGCGTAGCGCGACGTTTTGTCTAAACATGAGAACAGCGCCAGCCCCAGTTTAGTGGAACAACTCATAGCGTGGGACCCGGAGCTGGCCGGTGGTGCGACGCGTAGAGTGCCGACCTCCCCGAGGAGCTACCGCTGATCACCCGTAGCGCAGAGGATGGGCGCAGAGGGCGGACGCTCGTGCACGCATGAGATGGAGTCGGAGACAGAGCCACTCCTGGGAGACTCGAATGTTAGAGCAAAAGAGGTCGGCATAGCTATATTAAAAATGTATTTGTAGACAGGTCATGAAAAACTCAGTGATTCATGAATGAAAGCGATGATGAAATCTGCAAGCACTTTATTGAACATATTAGGTAAAAGAAATAGAATACATATCTTTTGAAACGAACTAGGCATAGAAACGCCGTAGTTGATCGATGTGCCACGAGTTTGGTTCCCTCCGGCCTTCCAGGTCGCAGAGCCTATAAGAGGTCGGCCTCGTGACTTCTGTGACCATGAACGGTCCTTCCCAGTGAGATGCGAGCTTATGGATTCCCTCAGTCCTTTGTTTCCTGCGTAATACGAGGTCTTCGACCACGAAAAATCTGTTGTTAACATTGCGGTTATAGTAACGACGCAAACCTTCTACGTACGTAGCAGTACGGATGCAGGAATCGAGCCTCTTCTCTTCTGCACAGTTGACCTCCAATTCTCGCGCCTTGCTGGACTTATCTTCATCATAGTTTTCCACTCGAGGAGATCGGAACGCTATATCAGCCGGAAGGACGGCTTCGGAGCCGAAAACCATGAAGTAGAGAGACACGCCAATGCTGCGGCTAGGTTGGGTTCGCAGTCCCCAAACCACAGCCGGCAACTCTTTCAACCATCGTCCTGGATTTTTGTCGTTCTCTCTATACAACCTTTTCTTCAAAGCGTCGAGGATCATTCCGTTGGCACGCTCGACCTGCCCATTAGCCCTGGGGTGAGCTACCGACACGTACTTGACAACAATGTCTCTGTCATCACAGAAGTTCCAAAAATCGCTACCGGTGAACGTGGAGCCCAGGTCGGTGATGATGCGATTCCTTACTGATCGCGGTGGATAACATCAACGAGCAATTCTGATTTTTTTTTTTTTCCAGCTTTGACTAAGGGCTTATACTCTATCCACTTGGAAAACTTGTCAATGATGACATAGACCCAACGGAAACTTCCTGGGGCTGGTTTGAAAGGCACAATCATATCCAGTCCCTAGCATGCAAAGGGCCAGGAAGCCAGAATAGTTTGCAATTCATGCGCCGGGACGTGGATTTGTTTAGCAAAAAATTGACATTCTTCGCAGTGGTGGACCAATTTCTCGGCATCTGCGATGGCTGAAGGCCAGTAGAAACCAGCTCGGAAAGCCTTGCCGACCAGCGTTTCTGAACGCTGCATGGTTACCACATATGCCACCGTGAATATCCTGCAAAATCTTTAGCCCGACCTCCTCGGAGATGCACTTCTGTAACAGCTCCTCCCTTGCGTTCTTACGCATGAGCTCGCTATTGACAAGAATGTAATGTTTATTATTAAAGTAGCTATAAGGCGCAACGATTAAATCTTTCAATATCCGAACGCTTTCCCAAGATGATTAATCCTTGATGAATGGTTCTCTCCAGTTGTCGACTTGAGTTGAGATGTTGGCGAACTGAACTTGTTATGCCAAGGCCCGTCACCCCAAACGAGTCCTCAATCTCAATCGATGGTTTCTCAGATCTTCATAAGACTATAAAATATTTGACTTTTTGACCCTAAATTTGACCACTAGCTCATCAAAAATTTGTTTGTCAAAAATAGTACATGGTGCCATTCCAGACCATAGAATTTATTCTCTAGCTGACGTGATCATAATTGCGTGATATTTTGCTGAAAAAGGTGAGGATACCAAACCTTGATGTCAAAGAGGACCTCACTAACATAATATATCGTTCTTATATTTTGGGATATACATGTCCGACCCATTCAAGATGCGTGACGTCTCCCCACCTCTCGAGTAGCCACCACTGCCCGGCAACGCTGGAGATCGGAAAGATGTTCAGCGAAGTGTTGAGGAACTATTTAAGCTCAGTTGTTGAGTGGGTTAGTGTGCCGGCATAGACCAAGTATGGTTGCAACGTGGGAGACCACCACCACTCGCTCCCCTGTTAGTGTAGTATATAGCAGCATTAGCAGAGATTCCAAACACTTGGTAGTTCAAAAACTTGTAGTGAGGGAGCAGTGAAATGTAATGTAGATTATTCTAACTGTTGTACAAGCATATTTGAAGCTTCAGTTTAGTTTGCAGATATTCAGAGGGCCGGGGGCAGTGAAATGCAACGTAGATTCTTCTGATTGTTAAGCCTATTTGAAGTCAAACGAGGAGATGAGGACATTTGCCGCTTACCAATGTGTTGTTGAGCAATCTTATTCAAGTAGGAGACAGAACGCTCATTCAGTTGATTCATGCTCTCTCCACCCTGAATATCAGCGTAAGTTTTGATTAAGACCTTCAGATGAAGTACATACCTACAAACATGGGTTTAGCATAATATCGCTGCAAGTGGCTAAGTGGACACTTGTGTTGTTTTGAACATTCTATTCAGTTTTAACTAGCAACATCAGGTTGGAAACATTCTATTTAGAGCTACAGATATGGTCTTCAGTCAATTCAAGATCTGAATCTTAATTAAAAAGAGGCCACTATGACTCGTGAACAAGAGGGTGAACTCAAATATTACAAACCCAAACGCTAGATCTTTGGCAAGGCTCAAAGTGCACAATGACAAATGATGCGGTTCTGTTCAACTCTACTACTGAAAATATGGTATCGTGTCCTCAACGGCCATTCTGATTTTGGTGTCAGGATCCCCCTCGGTAATCTTGACGATATCCAGCAGAAAGATTGTGTCCTTAACGCCCGCAAATAGGTGTTTGTACGTTCCTTTATAGAAAAACATGTCCTTCCAATAAAATGGTACATACAATAAATTATGTTTATTGTGTAACTACAACCACGTGCGAGTTTGGTGAGAGTGAAGAGTTTGTGCTTTGGTAAATCTTTGGATTACCTTAACTTGACACTGACTGTAACATAACTCCTTTATTTTACTTAATCAAAAACTTGCTAAAGCACGATCTCGAAAAGAAAGGGGAACAAATACAGGGCCTGTTCGCTTGTCTGAATTTTGGATGAATCTGAATGGTTTTGAGGAATGCTGGAGGAATTTGTGAGAGAAAAACACTGTTCCGAATGAAAAAATAAACGGATCAAGCCGGGTTTAAGGGCACGCGAACGGAGGCACAGAATGTATATACTGTATACACACTATTCTTTCCTTCAAAAAAAAAAAACAATGACAGCAGAGAGCACTTACATTTGATACACCGCAAGCTCCCGCTATGATTTCAGCAGTCTCAGCGGCTCGCCTCAAGTCAGAAGAGTATACGGCGGCAGGCCTGGCTTCGCTCAACAGACGGCCGGCAACCTTAGTTACAAGAATTTTGGCCAGAAATATTAATGTCAGTGCTAGAATAGTGGGATTGATCGGGAATATTCATCACGTTCTGCCGTAAAAAAAAATATTCATCACGTTCTGCATAGCGGTTTGAGAAACAAAACATTACCACGACGGCTTGCTGCCCTGCCAGCCTCATTTAGCTCCGGATCCAGTTGTCCCTGGTCATTGGTGAAGGATGAGTTGGGTAAGAATTCCCAGTTTATGGGAAACATGACATGCGGTTACTGAATGTAAGGATTAGTGACAATAGCAGTAGGTTTGTCATCTCCTACATCTAACGGCAACGGGTGCAGGCTACGAGCTTAATGCTAGCAACCTAACTGGATTCACTAACAAATAACTTGATTCAAGTAGCAAATCTGAGTACATACCCAGGAGAATCTGAGGATAGAGAGGAGGAGAGTTGGGAAAGATGAACTAAAGGTAAGGGTAAAAGGTAATGTTCAGATAATTTGTTCCCCCTCCTCAACTGCTGCAGCTCGCTTCTTTTGTAGTGCTTGTCCCTTGCCCCCTTGGGCCTGTATGGGCTTGTCCCCTGCCGTCTTGCGCCTGTGTGGTATATACACAGCCCACTAGACGACCCCTGACACTTTTTCTTTTCGAAAGCGTGCATTTGCATTTGCACGTGCTTCGTTAAGTGGAACCAGAGAGTTTTACAATCTCCGGTGCTAGTCACGGCGAGGGGCCATATCTAACACGGAGGGCACACAAACACAAATCGCCACAAAGTGACGGGAGTCGTTAGGTTGTACTAACTAAATAACCATTGGCGCGACCAAAACGGGAGGAAGGCCCGACGCGTGGCGACAGCTCAGGGCGTCACCTCACTGGCAACGTTCCAGCGCTTTGCAAGCATAGGCATGAGCTCGCCCATCGCTTCCCACTTCCGAGGGGATACGGGCCCGTCGAACGTCTCATGGAACTTGACAGCGATCGTGTCATTCGGAGTGTCGTTGCCGGCGTTGTTCACCAGCATGCGTTTAGCTTGCTTCTCCGGGTTGGGGTCGCGGAAAGCGGCTTTGGCCGCGAGCCTGTCGCTGCGACGAGGGACCAGGCTAGCAGGCTCCTGGCGCGCGGCGGCGTGTGCAGGAGACCCTGTAGTGGCAGCCGAAGGGAGTCGAAGAAGAGGTCTGCGGCGTCGATGTTGTCAGGGGCTGCTACCGCAGCGTCGACGGGGGCATCCACACCATCCTCCCCCGGCTCCTCAGCATCGGCGAAAAGCGCAGCCATCCGAGGTGGCGAACAGGTGTCCGCCACAACCGCGTCGACAACATAGGGGTCCACTGCACCCCGTCCGCCCCCGGCGCCTCAGCATCCGCCAAGCCGAGCAGAACCATCCGAGGCGGCAAACGAGTGTCCGCCAGCGCTGCCTGGGCCTCCAGAGAGGCAGCACTGGAGCACGTGTTGACTGACTCGCGACGAGGGAGGCAGCGAGCTCATCGAGCATCGGGTCGACCCATATGGGAGGCCCCGCACCCTCACCTAGCTCAAGCGCGAGCGGGTCTGTAGAGGTGGCAGCATTGACCTCCCCCGGTAGCTTTCTCTGGCGCCGTCGGCGTCGACGACGGACGCCATTGGTTCCCTGCGTGGCTCCGTCCGAGCCACTATGTGGCGCATGTGGAGATGGCTGCGGGCTGCCACCCGCCACCGTTGACGTCGAAGGGGCCGGGCAAAGAATCTGACCGACAAAGATAGGAGCCTCGTGCGTGACCCAAGTCCTGGATGGATGTGCGGCGGCTTGCCGTTCACAAGAGACCCAAGTCCTGGCTCACGACAATGACGTTGATGGCCTCCAAGCGCCGACGCCCAGCCCCGCGGGCCGAGGCGCTGGTGCACGGGCACACGCGCGATCGGCTGTGCGCCGATAAGCTGGTGCGCGGGTACTCGAGCGGCCGGGTGTGGGGGCGCCACTGGAGGACCAGGGCCAGCTGCCCTGGTCCTGGCTCTACGACTACGGCGCCGCCGCTTCTTGGTGATGGCGACCAGATGTGCAGGCGAGGTCTCCGGTCTCCCCCCACACACGACACGGGGGAGGCCGTCACCTCTATGGCCCGGCGAGCAGCTTCCAGGTACGGCGACTGGCCGGCCGAGGGTGTGCAGTCAAAGTCACGGTCGTTGGAATGCTCCATCCAACGCAGAGCCTTGGATCTGCCCGCCGACGGCTTGGCTGGGAAGAAGGGTGCGGCGAGAGGAGACAGGGTGGAGCTCCTACCGGCACCATCGATGGTCCGGTGTGGGTCGACGAGAGAGGCGCGGAGGAGTTCGGCGGTGGACGCAGGGGCATCTTCATCCTGGTCTTCTTCCCCGTCCTCGTCATCGTCATCCAAGACGTCCTCGAGGACTTTGTTCTCCAACGAACGACTGCCGATAGGCGCCGCCGAGCAGGAGGTGTACAGAGATACTGTACCGTTGTTTTCTAGCTACTATTAGGCAGATCAGAGAAGCTAAGCTTGCAGTTGCAGTTTCAGATATGTGTTTGTCAGACATGAAAACATTAGGCCCTGTTCATCTGAACTTAATTATCAGCCATGTTATCACAACGTTTTCTCTACGACAAATAAGCACCAACCAGCTTGCGTAGAAACCATCCGCCAAACATTTGGGAGTATGTTTGGACTGACGGGATGGGGTCATTCAAAACACACACACGCACGCATGAACAGATGCAGTAATCAGGAATTCAGGACTCAGGAGAGGAGAGGGGCGGCGATCGAGGACGGACGGAACCTGGACGATTTTGGAGGCGTTCCACGCGGTCTCCCCGTGCCGGACCACCACCACCTCCGTGGACAACTCCTCCTCGCTGGCGCCGGCGCCGGCGCCCGGCGCAGGGGTGGGCGACATGGCTCGGTTGGTTTGTGCTAGACTGCTCGCGGCCCCGCCGACGGCCTTCTCTCCTGTCCGTGGACGACGGAGACGGAGAGGAAGACGACCGGAATGAAGGACGAGGCTGTCTGTAGTACAAGATGACAGGGAATATAACGCGTGATGGCGATTGTCTCGCTGACCGCCACCACCAAACTCCCCCGTCAATGGCTTGCAAGCTAAGGGAAAAGCGAGGACGGACAGCGACGCCGACATGCTCATCACAACACAATTCGCAGGGCCGCCGGCAGTCCGGCACGCACCAGCGTCGTTCGTGTGGCACGACGCTCTGCTCGATCGGCTGCTGTGCGCGCGGTTTGAACGAGATCAAGTCAGCTTGTTTCGATCTGCTCCGGCAGGAGGAGCATCAATCACTGAGTCGCCAATGCAACTTGATCATATATAAAAAGGCGCGCGCGCGTCGCGCCTAGCTAGAAGAAATCGCGTTAGCGAGCGTCAGGGGAAGACGCGTCAGCAAATCGCGTTGAAGATGCCTATAGTTGAAGATGCGATCACACTTTTCGACGCGAGATGCCTTCACACGCTGACTTGTCCTCCACGGCACTACTGCACGTCTGCACACGTTTCGAGATCATCTGGTCGATTATGGTGTGGGTTAGCATGCATGATATGGTTCCCGTGTAAACAACTGATTTTTATAGCATATCATGGAACTGCTATAGAGTATTAGAGTTGCATAACCACAATCCTGATTTATTTGTTCTGCCACAGGGCAGCTTGACCTTAGCCGCTTATTCTAGCTCATTATATATAGAGAGATAGCAAACTTGGTTTACAAGGAATAGTTCAAATACTACAACATATCCTACTGCATACTGCATAAGTCAGATGCATGCTTACTTCGATGCCAAGGTAACTAGCTGAAAACAGCATTATTGAAGGACCGGAAACGGCGACCAGAGGGGGGTGAATGGGAGCCTCAAATTTCTTTCAAAATCTTCGACCACTATCCCAATATCAAACCCCAAGAAGAAAACACGATCGACGTGATGATCACGACCCTCAGGAAGGGTGGATGTTCCCTCAGAACACAGCGGGTCACCACAAAGCAAGCGGAACGAGAAACGAGGACTAGACAAGAAACCGGGACTCTCCACTTCTATTGAGAAGAAGCAAGGTCCCAAATCTCGGACACCCAAATCAACTGGTGGTAAGAGCACCTAGATAAAGTCTAGGGAATGATAGAAACCCAACGCAACAGACGGAACACAAATCGGAGCCCAAACGAGCAAATTGAAGAAAACTCATCCCTGCAACTGTAAATATCGGACATGTCCGGTATGCATATGGTATTTTTTAGCACTACACTGACAGAGAGAAAAATCCAAAACCCCATCAAATGGTGTCAAAAAATCATGAAATTTTAACCATAGCTCTTAGACACTAAAGGGAAGGTCTCCACCGAATTTCAGCTCAAAACTCCAAAGTTTGAAATATCAGACATGTACTAGGTCATACCAGACGTTGTTTCTCGAGAAAAATCAAATTCAAGCCATAACTCGATCAAATCAACTCCAAATGACTTGAAACTTTGCACAAGGGTTCACAAGGGAGTAGAAGGGCTATCTCTAAAGGATCATGGCCCGAGACAAACTCTAACTCCGCGAATCGAAGAAAAAGGAAAAATTCCAAAAACTAGGTCAAGAACTAAAATTGCTCGGATCTACGATCTCGTGAGGAATTAGTAGATTTCCTTGGGTGAAAAGCTTCAACTCATGTCATAGATCGATCCAAGGCAACAAGAATGAATCAAAACGACCTCAAAACGATGAAACGAAGCAAGAACGAAAAATCCCCTAAAATAGCTCCAAAAATCATGGAAAAGGAAAAACTTCAGATTTAGAAAGGAGAATAAGTGGAGCACGAAATTGATCCTTGGATTACTTCATGAGGTCAGGTTACAAGCCACTCCTAGCCAAATCAAAGGTAGGATGACAAAAAGCTTAAGAACAAGAGACACTCCACTTTGTAACCCTAGCCTCCTCTCAAACTACACAAATGAGAGTGACCCTCCAAGGATAGCTGCCCAACCAGCCCCTTCACATATATATAGGCGTTCGTCAAAAGACAAAAATGCCCTTACATGAAGCACACAACCCAAATACCCACTAGATGTAAATCCGTCCAACTTTTTCTTTCTTCATCCGACGGCCACCACGCCTTCTCACCGATAGCTTCGCCTCGACGCGAACTCCCCGATGCCGCCACGTGCCGTCCGTTCTGCATCGGAACCTCCACCCGGGTTTTAAGGCCCAAACCCGTAAACCTGCATCCGATGGTTTTGAGGACAAACCACCAAACACGACTCCAATGGTTTTGAGGACAAAACCACCAAACCCCTCCGATGGTTTTGAGGACGAAACCACCAAACCCTCCGATGTCGACACGTGTCCGACCTCCACCAAGCTTGACGCCTTCTCCTTCCTTCTTGACTCGACCAATGCCATCTACACCTCCCATGTAGATGTGTGTCCGGCCTCCGCCAAGTGCCACGACACCATCGCCTCCTCCTTGACTTGGCCGACGTCGTCTTCATCACCCATGTACACTTGCGCTTGTCGATGTCCCCAAGTGTCAGCCACTGCGGCTAGTCACCCGGCCTCCTGGTCCCTCGGTCCAATCCTTACGTCTGCCCTTCACCACTCCCGGTCTGTTGGCACGGCACGTCTCTACTTGACCTTCACCTTGCCGTTGACCACTGCCTCTGAGCTCCACACCTACGCACCACAAGCCAAGAGACATGTTGCACAACACACACGATACAACACAACTCACACAACACCTCCGGTTAGCCAATAGCATAATCAAGCACATATATAAAATATGACTCAACTGAAAAAACCTCAAACCTTTCACACATGTGGCAATCATTCATCACACACACACGGGCATGTCTCAACCATGTGTTCATAATCTCCCCCTTGATGAATGCATTGACCATCAATAAAGGCCAACAAAGAAGGTTTGAAGGCAAAACAAAAATTTCTCATTCAAGTGCCCAAAAGCCAAGTAAAAGCAAACACAAGGCCACTTGATATGAGGAAGGATCATGAAAGCTCCAAATAAAAAACTCTCGGTTCCCAAGATAGGGCAAAGGCTCAACACAACCTAAGAGTCAAGTAGGAGAGACAAGAGACAAGAGCTTCATGCAATCCCAAAAGCAAATGCACTCAAAGCCATTTCAACAATTGTCAAACAATCATCACAAACAAACCAAGGTTCTTATCAACTTGGTTCCACATTCTCCCCCTTGATGATTGAATTGACAACATGTAAGCACAAGAAATGGTTTGAGACACAAAAGCCATGTAAAATCCGAGAAGTGAAACCAATTAGCCAAAATCTCATCCAAGTGATCAAAAGCCACATAAAGGCAAAGATCAAAGTCACTTGGTATGAGAAGTCACATAAGAGTCAATGCCCGACTTGGCAAGGAAAAACTCTCAAGGCCAATTGAAATGAAACTCTCGAAACCAATTTAGGAAAAATCAAAACTTGGAAAGATCTCGGTCCCCAAAGACATGGGCAACAGCTCAACGCAACCGAGAAGAAGCAAAAGTGCTAGTCCTCAAGAAGAGGCAAACGGACTCAGCACCACTAGCAAAGTTGAAAGCACCTGAAAATCACTAGACCCTCCAGAAGAGGCAAATGCTCAACACATCTAGCAAAAGCAACTCAAATCCAAAAGAGGCTTGAATGTGCAACTCCCCCTAACCGAATGCAATCTCACAAAAGTATGCACTCTTAACATTCTCCCCCTTGATGTGTGGAACATTTGAACAAATCTCCCCCATGTTGACATATGCACACATCAAGCTAAAAAGGAGCGCACAACAAAGCAACAAAGACTGCAACTCTCCCTCACAAAGTGCTATGGATGCAAAGGGATGCAGAAAATGCAAAGCTTCAGGAGTATAATAGATAGAGTGAACAAGTGCTCTAAACGGTGCTGTCATGTGTATAACAATAATAACATGTGCAAGTAGAGGCTCAAACTGATCACTAGAGACAAAGTATGGCAATTAAAGCATAAGATCAATTTTAAGCATGTCAAAAGAGTTGTTCACCATTAAGAGTAGACAAGCTAGAACATGAATCTCAACACATTCTACATAAGCAAGGTGCTAGTCTCAAGGGTGAACAATTTTCAGAGTTATAGCAATAATTAGTCAAGTTCAAAATGTGAAAAACAGGTTTAGCTCATAGCATGCATCATATGATCAACAAGAGCCTAAACCATACAACATCAAAATGTGCACACAAATCCATACCAAATAGAGCATAGGTTCAATCTAACAATTATATCCAGAAAGCTCAGAATGCTCTAATATACATGATGATGCAATGCTAAAAGAGGTAGAATCCAGCTCAAACTTTAGAAGCACGAAGGAGGGTTCAAAACAAATCCTTGGAAACAACCAAAAGGACCTAATAGAGTATCATAGAAAGGATACCAAATGTAGGACCAAAACTTGATACCACTTGAAGAAACAAAACAAGTGATACCAAGAAATCTCCTTGAAGAACTGGGAAGACAACAACTGAACCACAAGGAGAAGGTTGAAACCAAGCAACAAAAGGCACAAAAGAACCAACTCCCCCTCGAATGAAGCCAAACTCCCCCTCAACCAAAGACACCTAGCAAAAGAAAACTAGGAAACACAAAAGGCACAAAAAACAAAAGAAAAGATCCAACACCAAATGGAGAAGGAAACCTCAAGGAGCCAACTACAACCTAAAGACACAGCAAGCCCAAAAGCAACCAAAATCTCAACACATGCTACGATGCACAATGATGATACCAATTAGAAAGTAAAAGCATGTAGCATGATACTAATTAAAATGGCTAAAATCTTGGGCTAGCAAAACATGTCAATAGGTATAAGTAACTATACAAAAGCTAGCAATTAAAAATGATACCTAATGAACACCATACCAACTACACAATTTAAGCACAT